CCCAAAAAACTTTAAATTTTGAAACCATAATAGATTTCCATACAAATTGTCTGGCAAGGTTTGAATTTGGGTTGTCAGTGATCAATTGTTGTGCTTATAAATTGCTTTAGTCCACAACCAATCCATACAAATCTTCTGTGAAAAACAGCTCCAAATAAATCAAGGGGAGTAGTTACATTTGCTGTTTTCACCTGAATTCCAGGTTGGGCAGTGAATGGGGGAAGTATGGGTGCTGCAGAATTTGTGGGCTTACAATCAGAACTTGCAAGCATATCTGGAAGGACACTATAGGCTCTACAGGCCTGTGTGCAAATTCTTGGTGGCTGAGGAACAATACTTGTGTTCGCTACTGCATCAGCTTGTACTGCACTTATGGGACTTGCCACGTCACCAAATGGTACTGCAGTGCTGGTATGTGAAAGGCCAGGATGTACTAAGACCAGTTCACCAAAAGGCAGACGGCACTAGTACTGCATATGACAATCATCATGCAATTCTAACATCTCAGCAACCTGGGAATGGGGTCAGGCGTACTTAGCAGGGACCTCTACTTCATCGTCTGAGCTATCTGTCAGGGTGCCGCTGCTGTCTACAGGTTCATTTTCTGAGGCAGATTCTGTCAGTGAGGCTTCCCCTTTCCTCTCATCTGACATGCTCAGAATCCTGTAGACCTCTTCACTAGTGTACCTTTCATTGGACATTTTTGCCACTAAATTTATAGGTACCTAGTGCAACTCACAGACTCCCTTACTATCTAAAATAATAAAAAAAAAGGTTTGAGGGGTATATTAATGCATTTCTTAAAGTGGTCGATACTGCTTTGTGAATGGAGCTCCCTGTTTTGCAAAAATATACACTATATTGCCAAAAGTATTGGTCCAGCCCTCCAAATCATTGGATCCAGGTGTTCCAATCACCTCCATGGCCATAAGTGTATAAAATCATCACCTAGGCATGCAGACTGCTTCTACAAACATTTGTTAAAAAATGGGTCGCTCTCAGGAGCTCAGTGAATTCAAGCGTGGTACTGTGATAGGTTGTCACCTGTGCAATAAGTTCATCCGTGACATTTCCTGGCTACTAAATATTCCACGGCCAACTGTTAGTGGGATTATAACAAAGTGGAAGCAACTGGGAACAACAGCAACTCCGCCACCAAGTGGTAGGCCAGATAAAATAACAGAGCAGGGTGAGTGCATGCCAAATCTCTGCAGTCAGTGGTTAAAGTTCTCCAAACTTGGTGTGGCCTTCAGATTAGCACAACAGCAGAGCACAGAGAGCTTCTTGGAATGGGTTTCCATGGCCAAGCAGCTGCATCCAAGCCTTACATCATCAAGTGCAATACAAAGCGTTGGATGCCGTGGTGTAAAGCATGCCACCATTGGACTCTAGAGCAGTGGAAACGTGTTCACTGGAGTGACCAATCACGCGTCTCTATCTGGCAATCTGATGGACATGCCTGGGTTTGGCAGTTGCCAGGAAAACGGTACTTGCCTGACTGCATTGTACCAAGTGTAAAGTTTGGTGGAGGGGGAACAGTTTGGGGATGGTCCCTTTCTGTTCCAACATGACTGCACACCAGTGAACAAAGCAAGATCAATAAAGACATGGATGAGTGAGTTTGGGGTGGAGGAACTTGACTGGCCTGCACAGAGTCCTGACCTCAACCCGACAGAAGACCTTTGGGATGAATTAGAGCGGAGACTGTGAGCCAGGCCTTCTCATCTGACATCAGTGCCTGACCTCACAAATGTGCTTCTGGAAGGAATGGTCAAACCTTCCCATAGCCACCCTCCTAAACCTTGTGGACAGCCTTCCCAGAAGAGTTGAAGCTGTTATAGCTGCAAAGGGCGGGGCCAACTCAATATTGAACCCTATGGACTAAGACTGGGTTGCCATTAAAGTTCATGTGTGTGTAAAGGCAGGCCGACCAATACCAATACCAAAAAGCAGGTGTCCCAAGAGTATACAAGTATACAAGTATAGAGGAGTCCATAGGAGGACCCAGCTGACCCACTGAGATGGATATTTTCTCAAATGCATGATGGAATTATGCATCTGGTGAGTGTGCAATTCACATATTTGATCACCAGAAGATGCACAGTGGATCACTCGAATAGGAGCTTCACATTATATATAGACTATGTCACTTTATCACTAGTAGTCACCATCTTGGATGTGCGTTTCCACTTTTGTCACTTTATTTTTCCTGATACTGGAAATATTGTAACTTCTTGTTATGCATCCTTTTTGAGAGTTTTGGTTGCTCTCACTAGAAATTTTATTGATAATTAATTATTTATTATTTTTTATGTGGTTTTTAGCGCTGCACCTGTATTTATCATACCAGATGTCCCAATACTTTTGGCAATACAGTGTATATTTTTTTTGCTTATGTGCCTATATGACAAATTATGTAGGTCGAAGTTACATAAAGTGTAACCATATAACAAAAATGCATGGAACTGAGCTATGTGACGAGTGATCATATGACGAAATGCGTAGGGAGGAGTTAAGTGACATGTGATGCCATCACGTTAAGCCATCTTGTTGGTGGAGGAGTTAGGTGACACATGACACTAAAACCATGGCCATCTTGTTGGTGATTTCTCTTGGATTATACAATATGCATATCTTTTCCATTAGCATATGAGTGTATATGTGGTTGTAATAAATGTTGGGTTTTTATACTACACCATAAAGCCGTTCTGTTTGCCTTTTATGAGTTGAATATATATGGGAGTCGAATGCCTTTAGATTGTTGGTAAGGAATGAGCTTCAAACACATGTGAAAATGGCCCAGCTAAACCTGTGAAGGTTGATACGTTTCATTGGGGGCTATGGAACCTTGTTAAGCAGTATTTGACCACTTGATATGTAGAAGGTCAATATACAGTATTCCAGTAATAGGCTCCATGTGCTCACTAGTAGACATGTGCAGAGTGAAAACACATAGAGTGGCAAGACGGAAGCCTTTGCTTACGAAGAAAAACATCCAAGCCCGGCTAAAGTTTGCAAAAACACATCTGAAGTCTCCCAAAAGAATGTGGGAAAATGTGTTCTGGTCTGATGAAACCAAGGTTGAACTTTTTGGCCATAATTCCTTGCGGTGATTGTAGCCGTATTAGTGCAATTGTGACAGAAACAATTGAGTACTGTCCGTGATACTTTTTTTATTTGCACTAACATACAATTTTGAGGACAAGCTTTCGGGGAATGTCCCCTTCTTCAAGGTCCAAGCAGTATTATACAAATCACAAAGTTTTAGCAGAATGTTAGAAGAGATGAAAAAAAAAAGAGGCTAGAGATAAGACACAGCAAAAGCAAAGGGGGGGGGGGGGGGGGGGGGGGGAAGGAAGACAACACTCACACAGAGGGAGTCAAGCTTGAGCTGATACTCATAAAACTGTTGGATAATGGTTGAGGAATCCCATGTCCAAATTCAGGTCATTATCTCTTGTGTCAGATAGAATTATCATTCTTAGTTCAAAAATTTTTCTTTCCTGAATGGATTTGAAATTTCCTTTAAGAACTAAAATATTGAGGTCTCCCATTGTGTGGTCTGGTTGTGCAAAATGGTGTCCCACAGGTGTGCAGAAGTCATCTTCTTTATGTTCCTTGATGGTATGTCTGTGCAAATTCATCCTTGTTTGCAGCTTCTGTCCTGTTTCACCAACATAAGATTCTTTGCTGCATTTTCTGCACTGCATAAGGTACACAACATTACTGGAGGTGCAGCTGTATGATTCGGAGATACTGAAGATCCCTTTTGAGTGTCTCACACTTTTTGATGGATTGATTTGGTTGCACAGTTTGCAGCGTTTTTTATTGCAGGGTTCGCTTCCATTATTTGTGACATCTTGATCAGAAGGAAGTTTCCTACTGATTAGTTTATTTCTAAGGTTGGGGGGGTTGTCTAAATGCCAGTATTGGGGGTTTCTGGAATATTTCTTTCAGAGTTCCATCCTCTGTTATGATGGGTTGTAAATCTTTGATTATTTTTCATATCCCTTCTAGTGCTGGGTTGTATGTGGTTACTAGAAGTACACGGTTGTTTGTTTTTTTCTCTTTGTACTGAAGTAGATTTTCTCTTTGGGTTCTCAAGGACCACATACAACCCAGCACTAGAAGGGATACTAACATTATTATTTAACCACATTAATCACTTCCTTTCTTCTACCCCTCCCCCCAAAAATCCCTCCCTTCCCCTTGAAAACCCCTTGTCCATAGCAGTCTTAAACTTCTCTTTCCCCTCCTGTAAACCCATCCCATTTATATGTCTTCCTTTAAACCATTTTTAATTCCCCAACTCTACTGTTATACCACCTCTTATTTTTAATTAATTTTTTGATGTTTTACATTCATACCACTTTCTCCATATTTCCTTAAATACTTCCACTTTATCCTCTTCAATATAACACAACTCCTCCATCTTATTAATATACAGTACTCAATCCTATTTATCCAGTCTTTCATTGATGGGGGCTCTTAGTCCTGCCAAGATTTAGGGATTAAGCTTTTTGCCGCACCAAGCAAATGGTATACTATATTATTTTTATACTGTTTTACTGACATCTCTGTTTTATAAAAGAGGCACACCCATGGATCTTTCTGGATTTGAATTCCCCCAATCTTCTGTATATTTTGAATTATTTATTGCCAAAATACCTGTATTTTTGGACATTCCCACCAAATGTGTGCCATTGTACCTATTACCCCACATCCCCTCCAACACAATGGTGATATTTCCTCTTGCTGTTTATGTGTCACATTCGGTGTACAATACCATCTAGACATACATTTATAGTTAATTTCAAGTTTGTTCATATTCCTCACCCCGTGTATTCATTTAAACATTTTATTCTTTTGCTGTTCATTTATTTTTGTGCCCAATTCTCTTTCCCATTTCTCTAAGAATGTCGGAGTTTCTGCTTCTGTAAATTCAGATAAGACCTTGTAAATTGTTGATATAAAATGTTCACAACTCGTCTTTAAACTCAATAGTTTTTCAAATGGTAGCATCTCTTCCGGCATCCTCAATGGCTGGGGGAGTGTTATGACAAAATGGCTAAATTGACTATATCTTAATTCATCTAGTGCAACAAATTTATTCTTAATTGTTGAAAAGTGCGTATCTTCCCTTTCTCTATGTCTCCCAAACGTGCATTACTATCTTTGAACCATTTTCCCGACACCTTCAGTGTATTCTGATAGCGGAGGATTCCCTGATGTCAGAATACGATGGCACAGCGAGGGGTGGAGGGAGTGGAGAGAGAAAGAGAGACTCACAGGCTGTGAGACAAGTGGAAGCTCTCAGAGAAACTGAGACACGGGCTGTTGATCCCCCAATGTGGCCTGCCTGGCACCCTTGTTATGGAGGAGCCTTACCCCCAGTATGGGACCAAAGTTTGTGAATCTTGAATTTTTTTGGTTGGGTGGCTTAGAATCTATATACACCAGGGGCGGACTGACAACTCATGGGGCCCCCGGGCAATAGGGGATCATGGGGCCCCTGTGTCCTTGCCCAAACTCAAAAAAGCCTATGAAAAAGGTACCAGGGGCATCTCATGGGGCCCCCTACTGACCCCGGGCCCTCAGGCAGTGCCCGAGTTTCCAAATGGTCAGTCCGCCCCTGATATACACATATATTGGGTGGTGTCCTCTTCCCAGGTAACTTGGAGAGAAGAACAGAGGGATGGAGTGAAACCCTGCAGTGCAGGGAGGGAGAGATCCTGGCTTCAGCACACAAGCAGAGATTTACCCAGGAGAATATACAGGATATCCAAGGATCATCCCATCTTGAAGGATTTAGCTACAATATCTAGAAAATCATCTTTCACTTGAATACAAAAGTTATGTCTGCTTTAACTAGGCTAATATGTAGGTGTTAGGGACCAGCCGGTGGTAGCCTCTAGCGGCCCACAGACCAGAATTCCCCAGGGCGCGGAATCTAAGTTCCGACCTGCTTGTTCACCAGAGCCCCTGATGGTGGGGTGGACTTGGAGCAAGCCGAGACCAGGTCGCGACCCCTGGGTGCAACCAGCTGTGGAAGAGGCACCTGTCGGTGGTACCCAGCAGGTGAGAGTCTGATGTGAGGAGGTAGAGTAAGCGAGGTCAGACAGGCCAGGTCGGTAACAGCGAAGCAGGTCGGTACAAAACAGCAGGCAGAAGAATAAACGGGTCATGGTCCGGGTTTGGCAACAGGAGATCAAAAGTGCAGGAACAGGCAGGAGAATGGTCAGGCAAGCCAGGGGTCAGAGCAGGAGAAGTCAGCAGATCAGGATCAGGCAGGGTCAGCAGCAAAGTAAACTCACAGGAACACAGGAAAGACCATACGGCACTTGAGCATTGCAAGAGCTGGGTTTAAATAGCCAGTAAACTCCTGACAGGCGCTCCTGGGTCCTAATGCTTGCCGGTGCCATCATTGGTGACAGGCGCGTCTGGGTCCTAGTGCCCGCCTGCCTGTACGTTTTGTCAGGACTCTACGCAGCGATCTTCCCATTCCCTGACAGTAGGTGAGCGCATATAAATGTTAATATTGGAGCACAGATTGAAACCACGTGTGGAAAATCAAATTGGGACAAA